ACTAACCCTTACAACACTGAAAAATCTCCAAAATCCTATGATTGATCAAAATGCCATTTTTGGCAATGAAAATTGACGCATCTCTCTTGAACTTAAAGAACAGAGCCAAACGAAGGCCCAAAAACTCACAATTACTGAGTAAAATCTGAAGGGTGATACGGATGAAGGCTGTGTATTTGTAAATAGACTGAAATCCTGTTCTCCTCTAATTGAAAATTCGAAAGCACAAAACTTATGCAAACGAAGGCAATGATAGCTGCCTTAAAGCGCTTGGGAATGCTAAGTTCATTTCCCTCCAGAAAAACTTGCAGCATTTAAATTCCGTCGAAGAGATCTAATGTTATTTGGAAGGCCAGTTTTAATAAGAACTCTCTGTCTTTACTTTTCGTTTCAAATGTGTTAAGCAACAGCAACAAAAGGAGCGGAGTTAGGCAAAGGGTCATCGTCAAGACATCTGGTCCATAGAACAAATCCAAAACGAGTCAAGTTCTATCTTAAATCCAAGACTAATATTAAGAAGAGAGTATAAGATAAAAATGAAATCATTTAAAGATATTTGCTTCTAATGAAACGCTCACGATAATTGTTTCAAATTTTTCCATGGTTTTCCCAGAAAGATTGTCAAGTTTATACCGATTACTGGGCGATTCTATGTAAAATTCTGCTCAATAATCGTCACAACCACAACATTTACCGATTGAACATACCTCGAAAAGGCCTAGGCAAATTACAATAGCATTTTTAGCGATAAAAATAGAGGCATCTTTTCCATAGCCCCGCCATAGATACATGCGAAGCCCCAAAAACACACAATTAACACAGATGATCTGTAGGGCTGTTCGCAAACCTTCTCTACATCTATGTAGAAATCCCCACCTATTGGAACTTCTTAACTTTATCTCAACCAGTTGCAATGGGGAGAGGATAAAACTGATACAGACAAAAGCGAGTATGGCTTTTTCAAAGGACTTTGGAACGCCATGGCTGACTTCATTTTCTTCGATGATAACTTCCAGCATTTCAACTCCATCAAAGAGATCCAGAGCCATTCGTAGGGATATCTGCCAGATTTGATCTCTGTAGCTGTTGGAATCTGTTCCAGTACTCAAAAGCAACAAC